TTAGTTCCGGCTCTTTTTGGTGTGAACGCGACATTTCGGAACTATATCGGAACTAAAGTGGGAAAAGTAATCCGGTGTGAACGCGGCTAATGCGACGTACACTAGAGTTAAGAGAAATACAGACAAGAGTGCGAGGAAAGAGTGAAGGGGACACAGCGGTGCAAGAAAAGCTGGTTCAAGTACATGCAGAGCTAAGGTCAAAGATTTTGAATGTGGAAGAAAAAAACAGATTTTTTTAACCGTATATTTTTAAACTATTTTTACAACTTTAGTACTGAAGTAAACACAATAACCAAATGTTTTGTACACCGATGTCAACACTAAAAAGTGTGCTATCTCCTGTGCTAACCTCAAAGCAAATCCCAAATAATAAGATGAATGTCTGAGTCTTCGAGAAAACTGCGTAAGGCATGTTTCCAAAGAAGATAGATAGATAGCTACTTTATTGATCCCAATGTGGGAAATGTTTGCATTGCAGCAGCCGAATACACATGGCAATAGGCGCGTTCACATCGCAGTACTTTTCCCAGTATAGTTCCGATATAGTTCAGAAAATGTGCGTTCATACCGAAAAGATCCGGAACTAGAACTTAGTTCATGAGAACCTTTTCACCCCCTTTTCAGTCCCTGCTAGAGAGCAGGGACTTTCATGGGAGAAAAAGGTTCCCATGTCTGATTGGCTGGGCGGATTGCAAACCACGTAAAACTCCCAAAAGTTTTGTGAAGCCGCCATTTTATTATCCTTGCATTAGCATTATTAGCATTAGCATTAGACCAGCGCACCAACGGAGAGAGAATAACTTATGGCAACACAAAAGAAAACATGGGAGCGGTGGAGATGAGGAAGTGTCGGCGTTCTGGCGATGAACTAAGTACGGCAAAGTACTTAGTGTGAAAGCGCCTAATGTACATACGAGAAATAAAGACACAAGAAATAAACAGAAAGAGAAGAAGAAGAGCATTACTGCAAGTCTGTGACAGGATGCAAACTCTTCTGCCAGAAAGGGTCCACTCCCTTTTCTTTCACTGATAAAGGGAATACTTATAGTCTGCTAAATACAACTATGCTTTGGGTGTCATGTAATAAATGCCCCCCTCTCAATACTACCTCCTTCCCTTTTCCTTTCCTCATTTCCTCCACTAACTCTTCTCCTGTGAGTGACGGGATGAAGGATCAACAGAGTGTGACACGTCTTTGTTTCCCCTGATGTTTCTGTGCGGGACAACAAAAAGAGACGTCTTCCTGTCGGAGGATCAATCCCTCCTGTTGAGAGGCAGATACTGTATATGGATGATAGCAAGTGGCTCATATGCTGCACTGCGCTGGAGAAAAATCTTCTGAAGTGTGAGGGGTGATGTGAGAGCCGTAGAACAAGTGGACGCCTGCACGGTGAGGCAGCATTTTAGGCACTCGAATGCTTATACCCTGCATGTTCGTGCAAAATCAGACAAACATCGTGCAAACACGGAACACCCAATGTGCTGAAACATACACTTCTCTTGCTTTTTACTTCTTTTTTTAATTAGTTGCTCCTTTTCCTCCCCATAATGATCGTCATGTGACCTCTCATGACCTTCAGAGCACCGGAAATAAGAGACAATTAAAAGAGAGTAGCTATACTGTCTCAATAATCAATCTCTCTCAATTATGAATCTGAAAACAGAAGGAGATGCATCTTGATCTCCCAGGTGTGCAATTACTTTGATCCTTAATGGATGAACTGCTGACCCTCCTGATGGGGAATGTGAAGAATACCCCAAACTTTATTTTCTGAGTGTTGTGTTCTGGGTCAGCACTTCGGGGTTTCTACAGGAGTGCAAATGTTCAAAGACTTATTAAAGTTTGGACCAGAGGATCCCACACTGACCATTAGCTAGGGACATCTCTTAAAAAGGACTATACACACATTTGCATTTATTCATCTACTTTCTGAATGTTTGTTTATCAGCAACAGTGCACAGATTTATAAATATAGTATAAAAAGAAAGTCCTTCTAGAGATTAGAGACATCTGTATATGGGATGATGTCTTTAAATGTCTTGCATAGTCCAAAACCTAAAGATATTCACTTTAAAGGTAATGCTTTCATTATTGTGTTGGTAACGCTAAAAAACAATAATTGAAAATGTTTTGTGTTTCTTGGTTCTTACAAGTGAAACCTGTCAGCACTAACAAAGCTAGCTGCTTCCTTCTGTCCTGCTCTTTAACAGTTCATACAGTTGCATTTTAAGATACAGTAGTACATCTGTAGTGCTTATGTTCTATTGAAATGTGTTATTTTTCCAACCATAATGCAAAAAAATCAGCACCATGCTTCTTATTACAAGTCAGTGAAGCGTCAATATGTTTGTAAAGGTGTCGCTTAAAGGTGGGGTAGGTAAATTTGAGAAACCGGCTCGAGAAACACTTGTTGTTATATTCCATGGAATGCTCTCAACATCCGATAGCAATGAATATCTGAAATGCTTTGACAAAAAATCTGTGGAATCCGTGGCGCTGGATAGTAACTGGATGGCCTACCTGCCAGCCTTCCATCTGTGCACAAACTTATCTCGTGCCCTCATTGGTCATGTGTGCGTTCGTGTGTGTTGGAGGAGGGGCTCTGTGAGGAAGTCTGAAGGAAGGGGCAGATTTTTTCCAGCTGTGTTTTTTCAAATTCTAGCCCACTCGAGCTGGTTTCTCCAAAATTCTCCATTTGTGAGGCCTTAAAGAGGCCTTGTTATGATTCCTATGTCTTAAAAAGGTGTAATAGGAACAATAAATAAGTTTATTTTCTTGATAAGAATATTGAAAATCCCACTTTCTCAAAGTCCAAGTCGATGTCTTTAAATGTTTTATTCTGTCGGTCCAAAACCCAAAGATATATAAACTATAATATGATGTAAAACAGCGGGAGATCTCTATTTTTGAGAGGCGAAAAAACAGCATTTGTCGCATAAATCCTGAGTAAACTACGGAGGGGAATACATCGAGAGTCAAGGGAGTGAATCAGAGGAAGATGTGGGAGCGGGGAAAAGATCACATGCATGAATGTCTGACGAAATGAGTATAAATATCCTCGGCGACTCCCTCTTCTGACTAAAATAGGCACTACTTTATCAACATCTTTCCTCATTTCAGATTCATGTCCCTTGTAACTTCCAGGGAGTAAAGCCACATGACCAAATACCTGCTGCAGACCTACGGCCGGCTGATGGACTGGAGGCTTTCCTCACAGACACAAGTGTGTGTGTCAATGTGTGTGTGTTGTCTTAGGCTGAGGGGAGTCAGACGTTACCACAAAATCCCGCAGATGGGATTTCATGTGGGAGGAATCTCCAAAAGAGTCCTCGCCATATTTGGTGCTTCAGAGAATCGCTGTCAGTCAAGCTGGCGAGCCAAGTTTCGAGCACAGTGTGTACGAATAAAAAGCCTTTCCAAATAATTCCGACAGTTTGTTTTACCCTGATGGGTGGCATTTACCGTATCATCAGCACTATTCAGATGAGCCAGATGTTCCCAGAAATGTATATTCGAGATACCTCCCTAAATGTTCTGCACATTTCATCCATTTTGGCTCCTAAAAACACACACACACACACACACACACACACACACACACACACACACACACACACACACACACACACACACACACACTGTGTTTCTCAGAGTGTAGGGGCAGCAGTGTGTGCTCCACTGATCTGCAGCAGCGTTGGTGGTTCGCCCACATCTTCCTCATCATCAGTTGCATCCTCTAAAGTAGTGCGTCCAGTGAGAGAGAACATTAACATGAAGACAGTTTTCCACCGTGATCCTGCACAGCGGATGTTTTGAGAGGAACTTGACAGATCCATGTTTAGATAGTTGCACAGTCACAGACTCTCCTTCACATGGGGATACACCTGCAGCAGCTCACACATCAGAGATGAAAAACATCCTGACAGGGAGAGCTCCTGTTACCGCTGGAAGCTGTACTGAGAAAAGTAATGCACTGTAAGTCATATATTTATATATCCCACAAGATCCTTTCGTACGTAATCCACCTGACAATGAACCGGGAAGTATAGAGAGACACAAACCCTGCAAAGAGAGGATGTTAGGAAGTCACATTTTGGCATCAGACACCAAAAAGTTGTCTCTTTTCTTCTATTATGTTTATTTCTGCATAAACAAGTCCTAGCCTATGGTATCTATTTCGTTGAGTTTTGCACTTTTATTATCCTAAATGTTTTTTAAAAAGTGTAATAATGTCTTTTCACTTTCCGCTTTTTGTGCAGGACTGCTCAGTATTTTCAAAACTTGTCTTAAAATTTGAGCCTAAGTCCCGCATTTGATTGACACTCGCCATTCTAAAACTTGCATTTCATCAAATGGCAGAGTAGTAAACAAGAGAGGGCTATCACCATTGGCTGTGTCAGATGTCAATCAACCAACACACTCGTGGGCGGGGTCAAAGAATCGGCAACTTGTCACCATCCTTGTTTGCCTTAATTACGCCCTATTGGGATGCACTTTGAGGCAGAATATGATGAAAACTATGACAAAGAAAGATAGGTGCAGCTACAAAAAGCATGGAAAAATAATGTAGTCATGTGAAGCCGGAGGAGGGCAATTCACAGAGGTTTTTTTTTTAATAGTGCATTGAGGTGAGAGAGACTATTTGAGAATTTATTTTTTTTTTTTGTACCTTGAACGTTTTTTTTGTCTTTGTTGAAATTATTATTATAAGAAAAACAAATATTATTATTATTGTTGTATGTTTTGTTTCTGACATGTTCAATAAATTGACCAAAAAGAAAAAAAAAGGTGAATATGATTTGAAGCGACACACAACATGCAAAACTTTGCGATAATGGTTTCCTTAGAATTGTAGATTTTTTAGGGTTATTTGGAGATTAAAAATGACATGTTTTGCATCAAATCTGTAGCAAGGAATCCAACACTCAATTCAAAAGTTATTTTAAAACAAACCACAAACACAACTGTATGCATGTACTGTAACAAGTGGACGTTTGCACACGTTGCTGGACTTTCACAGGAGAAATGAGGAATATAACTTTTCTAAGACAATACGATCCGGTATACGACTGCACTGTGATTTATAAGAGCTGGAGAGAAATGAAATGAGAGAGGGGGNTTGTGCAGATTGGTCCATTTCAGAATAATATATATGATATGTTTTATAATGATTGATCATGAAAGTGTTCTCAAAGCTGGTAAAGGTGCAGCTAGTTTGAATGACTTTGTATACTGCAGGGTAGCTTGTGGATTTACTCCAGGTGGAACTAAAGTCTGATTTAACACTTGATTATATTTCACATCATTCATCAAGATCTGAGAAGTAACTAAAGGGATTAAATACATGAAGTGGAGTAAAAGTACACCATGTACCTCTGAACTGAGTAGAAGTACAAAGTAGCATAGAATGGAAATACTCAAGTAAAGTACAAGTACTTCAGTAAATGTACTTAGTTACTTCCATCTTTGCTGCTGTACAACTGATCTTAAAGTTGAATGAAGGTAGTAACATGTGTTGACTGTTGATGAAACCTGCAGACATCCTACCTGTTCCCTCCTCCTTCTCTTACGCCATCTTTGTTTCTCCTGTTTCTCCCCCAGTGTGACGGTCAGTACATCCCCCTCCCCAGCCTGCAGGGCATCGCAGTTTTAAACATTCCCAGCTACGCAGGAGGGACCAACTTCTGGGGCGGCACCAAGGAGGACGACGTGAGTGTACACACACACACACACACACACACACACACACACACACACACACACACACACACACACACACACACACACACACACACACACACACACACACACACTCACCCTCAGTGTGCCCCGCAGAGGTTAAGCTTGGACGTACAGTATGTGCTGTTATGTAACTGTTAGAAAGGAGAGACAGGGGGACAGGGAACAGGGGGAGGACATTCAGTTAAACTTAGTATACAGACACACTAATATATATTATAATGTGTATTAATAATCAAATAGATGTACCTGTTTGTGTTCTAATTTTTCACATTGACAGTGGCGATGCAGTGCTGAAGCTTTTTCTGTTTTGGTGTCCTGGCCCTCACATGACAACACATCTGATCGTGTTGTTTGATCCTCATTTATTCCCAGGAGAATGTTTCCGATCCATTTTTGCTGAGCTTCTGTCTTTGAAGATGCTGACTCGTCATTGCTTTGACCTTTTCACTGTAGCAGAGATCAATATCAGAGCCGTGTGGAGCGTCTCCTTTCAGAAACACTTTCTGGATATAGAAGAAGGGCAGTAATACAGGCTATCCTATGTTCAGCGAGTGTGTCGTCATTCATCCTGCTTTCTCCTGTAGAATGAAAATCCCATATTCCAATATTTTATACTAACCAATATTGTCAATTTAAGCAATTTCAATATTTTATTTCTATTAATTATACAAGCCTGTGTTTGTTATGGACATTAGACATAACTTGAAATACATGGAGGTAGAGGTGCAATGATTATCTACTAATTGATTAGTCAATCAACAATATTTTAATTGCTTAAATTGGAAGCACATTTTTTTTTCAGCCCCAAATAAGATTTCTGGCTTTTTCCTGATTAATATTACACTCTGTAAATATATATGTGTGATGCTCTGACCAATCACCTTGGACTTTGAGAAACAATCCATTACAAATTAACTAAAATAGTTACTTGCAGCCTTAAATAGAACATATCAAATATTTCAAATACTTGTTTTTAAAGCCCACTTAGCTCACATTTTTTTTAAATATTACATGGGTTTAAATGTCATATATTAGAACACCAGCCTGTCTTTAAAGAGAGGTTTGAATGATTGGTTGTAAAGTAAACATGAATAGATGCAACATGGTACAATCAGTTTCTTAATGTCTTCGTTGTGTCCTGCAGATCTTCTGTGCCCCCTCTTTCGATGATAAGATCCTGGAGGTGGTGGCTGTGTTTGGGAGCATGCAGATGGCCGTGTCCCGAGTCATCAAGCTGCAGCACCACCGCATCGCACAGGTCAGAACACACGATACAATAACAGAGGAGAACAAACTGATACGTTTAAGAATATGCACATCTAAGTGAAGCGTTTGTGTTTCTGGATCAGTGTCGAACAGTGAAGATCACCATCCTGGGAGATGAGGGCGTTCCCGTCCAGGTGGACGGAGAGGCCTGGATCCAGCCGCCTGGAGTCATCAAGATCCAACACAAGAACCGCGCCCAGATGCTCACCAGAGACCGGGTGAGGAAGGGAGGAGGAGAGGAGGGAGAGAGGGAAGGAGGGAGAGAGGAGAGGAGGGAGAGAGGGAAGGAGGGAGAGGAGGGAGAGAGGGAAGGAGGGAGAGGGAAGGAAGAGAGGAGAGGAGAGGAGGGAGAGAGGGAGAGGAGGAGAGAGGGAAGGAGGAGAGGAGGGAGAGAGGGAAGGAGGAGAGGAGGGAGAGAGGGAAGGAGGAGAGGAGGGAGGAGGGAGAGAGGAGAGGAGGGAGAGAGGGAAGGAGGAGAGGAGAGAGAGAGGGAGAGAGGAGAGGAAGGAGAGAGGGAAGGAGGAGAGAGGGAGAGAGGAGAGGAGAGGAGAGAGGGAAGGAGGAGAGGAGGGACAGAGGGAAGGAGGAGAGGAGGGAGAGAGGGAAGGAGGAGAGGAGAGAGAGAGGGAAGGAGGAGAGGAGGGAGAGGGGGAAGGAGGGAGAGAGGGAGAGAGGAGGGGAAGGAGAGAGGGAAGGAGGAGAGGAGAGAGAGATGGAGGGAAGGAGGAGAGGAAGGAGAGAGGGAAGGAGGAGAGGAGGAGAGAGGGAAGGAGGAGAGGAGGGAGAGAGGGAAGGAGGGGGGAGTAAAGTGCAGAAGGGAGGAGAGGAGAGAGAGAGGGAGGGAAGGAGGAGAGGAGGGAGAGAGGGAAGGAGGAGAGGAGGAGAGGAGGAGAGAGGGAAGAGGAGAGGAGGGAGAGAGGGAAGGAGGAGAGGAGGGAGAGAGGGAAGGAGGAGAGGAGGAGAGAGGGAAGGAGAAGAGGAGGGAGAGAGGGAAGGAGGAGAGGAGAGAGAGAGGGAAGGAGGAGAGGAGAGAGAGAGAGGGAGAGAGGGAAGGAGAAGAGAGGGAAGGAGGAGAGGAGGGAGAGAGGGAAGGAGGGGGGAGTAAAGTGCAGAAGTGTCAAAACAACATCATTTGGGTTGAAGTCGCGCTGATAGATTGATAAATGATTTGTACTCATTCTCTGATTTGTCCCCGCAGGCGTTTGAGAACACGTTGAAGTCGTGGGAGGATAAGCTGAAGTACGATAAGGCCCCTCTGAGACCTCACCTGTACCCTCAGCAGTCTGTGGATCTGGCCACAGAAGAAGAAGCTGCTCAGGTGCAGCTGTGTGCCCGCGCTGCAGAGGAGCTCATCACCAGGTGAGCAGGAGATACATGGATATCATTAAAGGTCTCCTATCATGTGTGTCCCCGGTGTCAGGAGACTCTCAAAGTGTCAGGAAACAAACCCCTCTCTCTTTTCCTCCGTACCCACATCTCTAAAAACGGGGGAACAACGGAGCTGATCCAGATTTGCTGAGTCATGACGGCATTACTAAAATGTGGGCGGGCTTTACACCCACGGGCCAATCAGAAACGTTGCTGTCAGAAACAATGAGACGTGTTCTGGAAGTAATATGGTCTGTGTTTACATTAGCATGCTAACACTCAGAGCTAACCTGTACTGGAGAGAGCATGTGTGAAGAAGCAGGAAATCAAAAGGAAGTCACCTTGTGGTAAACCTGAGAGAGAGAGAGTTTGAGCTCCATCCTGTTTCAGAGAGAATCCTTGATGTGGTTTGTGGTAAAAATAGCATGATAGGAGACCTTTAACGTCAGCTCTCATTGGACAGTAGTGCGGCACCATCAGTCAGATATTAATCCCATGTGCTCTGTGTGACCTCTGTGTGACCTCTGTGTGACCTCTGTGTGACTTCAGGATCTGTGAGGCAGCAAAGACCAACGGGCTGTTGGAGCAGGAGCTGGCTCATGCTGTTAACGCCTCGTCGCACGCCATCAACAAGACACACCCCAAGTTCCCAGAGGTAAGCCATACACACAATACACACACACACACACACACACACACACACACACACACACACACACACACACACACACACACACACACACACACACACACACACACGGTGTTGAAATTAATCGTTTTCAAGATGCATGGACGATTCTGCATCGATGCAGTGACAGAACATAATCGATTATAGTGTAATAACTTTGCTTCTTGATTTTTTCGTTCGCGGCTGGACTTTATTGTTTCAATACATTATAACAAGGCACATAAACATTAAAGCGCATTCCCAAGCGGACCTCTGCCACATTATGGATTTTATGAACTCAACGGGAAGCATGATTCATCACGATGATATCGAATCGAATCGTTGACAGGATAATCGTAATCGAATCGTGAGACCAGTGAAGATGCACAGCCCTAATCATGCAGTGTTTCTAGGTTCATTATATATGGAGCTTCGGACAGTTGCTGTGTCATTTATCTACATTGTAGAGTAGAAGTTTAAACCTAAACCAGTTAAACCTGTGTTCACAGAAGCTGCAGTTTACATTTAAACGCAATTGTGGTTGAAATATTTGAGAACATCAATATCTCCCTTTTATGTTTGGTGTACAGAATAATCCTAACAAACTGCTACCTACCTACCTACCTACCTACCTACCTACCTACCTACCTACCTACCTACCTACCTACCTACCTCCCTACCTACCTCCCTACCTACCTACATCCAACCCTGCCTCCCTACCTACCTACCTACCTACCTCCCTGCCTACCTACCTACCTACCTACCTCCCTACCTACCTACCTACCTCCCTCCCTCCCTCCCTTCCTACCTACCTACCTACCTACCTACCTACCTACCTACTTACCTACCTACCTACCTAACTACCTACCTACCTACCTACCTACCTCCCTCCCTCCCTTCCTACCTACCTACCTACCTGCCTGCCTGCCTGCCTGCCTACCTACCTACCTACCTACCTGCCTGCCTGCCTACCTACCTACCTACCTGCCTGCCTGCCTGCCTACCTACCTACCTGACCTACCTACCTACCTACCTACCTACCTACCTACCTACCTACCTACCTACCTACCTGCCTGCCTGCCTGCCTACCTACCTACCTACCTACCTACCTACCTACCTACCTACCTGCCTGCCTGCCTGCCTACCTGCCTGCCTGCCTGCCTGCCTGCCTGCCTGCCTGTCTGTCTACCTGTCTGTCTGTCTATCTATCTATCTA